AAATATTTGATTATTCAACTAGTTTTTGAATTTATGGCCATAGAAAGTGTCAAAAATTGAGGTTTTGCTCGTTTTTTGGAAACTTTTTGACTTTTTCAAAAAGTACTTTGCCAAATTTGTTATTAAGTGTACAATTTAAAAAATAGTTCGTGCAGATGTCTTGATCTAGCTGAATTGCCCTAATTTTGAATAAAAAACTTTTGCACAATAAAATGAAGTTTTTTGAAGACCTACTTGTTTTTTTGGGAAACTTGACTTTCCTCAAAAGCCACGACTTTAAATCTGATAATAGTGATTCAATCAAAACAACAGATTGCAGATTGTGCAAATTTTCTCTGCACAAGAAGTGTTGTTCTACTTTTTGAAGTAAAACACTTATGGCTTTAGAAAATGCCCAGTTTTTGAAATGTTGCTTGTTTTTTGAAAAGATGGTTCTGAAAATGTAACCCACCGCTCAAAGGAAAATAAAAGGAATCCGTTCAATAAAAGGAAAACGTGCTATGAATTTTCGTTTTTCAAACGACTAGGCCCCATTATTTTAGAAAAACAACTTTGAACCTAAAATGTTATTTTTCCGCAATAGTGAAAGTTCTGGTTTACTTGAGAATTACCGTGCCAATTGCTTAATGGAATCTGCAATCAACTGTGGCAAGGAATCTACAATGGACCTGATAACCATCCAATGAGGGGAATTTTGACCAACTTTGTGGTCGTCGCTCAACTTCTCCAAAATGTCAATTTTGAGGTTAAGAAAACAATCAAACGGAGATTGTTTACTGATTCCCTCGCTAAAACTTTTTCAGTAATTTTGATAACCAATCAGCCAAGAACTTTTCATTTTTTGACATTTTTAAGAGTACGCATAATGTTTTGCATCAAATCAATTAAAACTATCAATGCATTAAATCCAGCTGTGACTGGACCCCTGGTCTGTTTTTTTTTGGTGCATTAACATCATATCTTAATTGATTTTTTTGGTGGCTGCTGTCTGAAAACTGTAACGTATCAGGGCGCAGACACTAGGAAGAGTGATTCCTAATATCGAGGTCGAGGTTTCAATACCGGAACCTAGCATAGTTTTGTCTCATAGTTTTTTCTTTTTTTAGTGTTCGATCTTATAATATCTACTTTTTGTATTTTTTTTGCTTGTGTTTGCGAAGTGCAGTTTCGTTTCTGTGTATAATTTAGGGTTCACGCTCTTCTCTGTATGTCCATAATTTTTACGTTTTATTTATTTGATGATCAAAATAAATGAATATGTTGAAATTGTTCTAAATATACTTTCTGATTGATTAAGGAGTGATAATATTTGGTTCTTCCATTTCTGCTGGTTTTTTATACACAAACTCAACCAGTTTTGCTGAAAAAACATATGTTTGAGTAAACTATTTTGAAAGTATAGTTTACAAAAATGGATTCAAGAACTTCTTATAAAATCATCAATTGTGTGGATCCGAGTGAAGGAAGAGGCAGTAATTTTTAGAAATTGAAAGAAAACTTTCATAAATTTGTGATTTTCTCAAGAATAAAGGACAAAAACTAGAATTTTCAAACAATTTTGAGGCATCAATTTGAAGCCCACGAGTTCTTTAGTTTCTTGGGATCAAATGTTGTATCATGTTTTTGTTCTTCAAGCTCTACAACACTAACGAGTGGTACAAGTCCATCCAATGGTATCCGGTTGGTTTGTAAAATGCTTTATTTGAATCATCAAGCCCAACCTATGGAGTTTGAGTGTATGCTTTAGCAACAATTTATTGGTCATTTGTAGTAAGCATTCCATTTTCCACCTTAGATACGGGGGTAATTTGAGAATATTATGAGGAGTACTTTACTGGAAGTCAATGGATTATGATAGTAACCAGAACAGGGTAGAATTTAAGAAAACACACTTGTTATAGAGAAACCAAATTAATTAGGATTTGCTTTTTGGATATGAGTATGTTGTCGATGTATGAGAGTTTTTGAATGATCGTTTGAAACCACATTTTTGTGATGATAAAATCAAAAACATTACTTGACACAGACACAGCCATTGTCACTGTAGATAGCCAGGATGTCATTCAAGAATTAAAATATCTAGGCGGATATGTTTGACTTTTAAATCCTAATAAAAATCATGATTTATTTAGCTATAAAATGAAACACCAGACTTAGTTTAATTAGATGAAATTTTTGCATTGCGAATAAAAGATTTTGCTTTTAAATGTGAAACAAAGACTCAGCTAAAATAAAGATTGAGTAAAACTCAATCAAAATATAATACTTTTGAGAAATTCTATAGTCCTTTTCTTGGAAAAGAATATGAAAAACACGTCTTAAAGAAAAAAAAGAATATCAAATGTTTTTTTTCTACAAAAGCAGAATTTTAAAGAATAAAAAGATTATTGAATGTGTAAACAAAATACTCGAAATGAAAAAATTATCAACTTTTGACATTAGAAAAAAGTATGTAAATAAAGAACTTTGAAGACTTTCTTTATTCAATTTCAAATTAAAGATGTACAGATGAAAATATGAATCTTTTTTCTAAATTTTCATACAAAACCTATAGTAAAAAAGAACTGAAAACTGATTTTAAATAGAAAAAATTTTTATAATAAACGGAAATGAGAAGTTTACAAAAATTTAAATTTCAATTTTACATTTTGTCACCATAATGTTATCAAACTGTCTAGAAGTGTCACCATATTTTCGTCAAGTTTTTTTCTTTTCAAATACCGATTTGTACAATAGTTCAATATTTATCATAAAAGTCGCATTTTGCAATATTGTCTCAGAAGAAAATCGTATTGTGCTGGGCGATGCAAACGCGCAATTCTCACATCGGTGCTCTTAGATAACAGAGAACCGAAGGGGGCTACTTGAAGCGCCAAATTACTGAATTGTTTTTTACCACTTCAACCCACTATAAAATTATCACAAAACTTATAATAGATAATCATCAGAGTCATTATCTAACATGCCACTGGCAGCTTCTTCAAATGTTTTTAATTTTGCTCGGCAAACAATTTCTGAACTGAGCAAACAATTTATAAGCCCTTTATCAAAAATATCCATTTATCGACTAAAAAAAGTTTTATAAACTTTACGAAATGGACTGGAAAAGTTGTAAGAGAGAATTCAAAGATGGCCTTACAACTTACTAAGAATTCTGTACAACTTATTGTTAATGCCTTTGATATTTGGTGATACAATTCTCACAGCATTCAGTAACCATATTCATACAGGCCGACATCGTGTCTTTGTACCTGCATATAAAAATCAAAAAAGAAATAAATACCTAAGCAAATAGCAAATTAAAAATTTGAATCCGTTTGATCTACTCCTTAACGATCGCAATAGGGAAATCATGTTCATGATGGCCAAACAAAACGAAAAACAAAGAGGGTTTTCCTCAAGATTTTTTGTCATCACACGTAAGCAAACAAGTTCTGAAATTGATTTTTTTCCGGTTGAAACTGAAATGTCTGCTTCGAAATTGGCCATCGTAAAAGTCAAAGGTGTGACTTTTTGACTGTTTTTGAAATTGTTTTTCACGAAAACTACCCTCTCAAATCTGAATTTATGTGTTCAGTCCAAATAACAAACAGTGTAGATTTTTTCTGCGAAACCAGTCACGCCCAGAATTTTGACACATAGCTATGGTTCTCAGAAAAGTCATTTTTTAAATTGTTGATCAATTTTTGGAACTTTTTTGGATTTCACGATAATTATTCTGCTATATCTGATATCAATGGCTTAACCAAATTCAGGAATTGTCAAAAATCTACCTGCATAAGCGGTTACGCTCATTTTTCCCAATAAAAAACATTTGGCCTTCAGAAAAGTCAAACTTTTTCATTTTTTGCGAAAATTACGCTGCCAAATGTCAGGTTAAGAGTGCTATTGAGACAGTCGGTATTGGAACTTTTCAACGCTTAATTGGCCACAACTTTATTTTCCTTAGAAAAATGTATATGAGTTTCGGAAAATCATTTTTTGAATTTTTGATCGTTGTTGAGAAAATTTCTCTTTAACTATTCTATCTGACCTGAGATGAAAGCTTCAACCAAGAGAACCGTTTGTGAGAGTAAGTGTTTTCCTGAGAATCGACGACTCCTTTATCAGAAGAAAATGAGAATCACCATAAAAAATTTCGCTTTCTGGAATATTTTGACTAAACAATTGGGCAGAAATTGGGCGGGTCGGCCGAAAATGGATGTCGCAAAATCGTACTTAATGGTACAAAATAGTCTTTTTATGATGTTGCAAGATAAATTTTTTAAAAACAAATGATCGTTAAGTGCAGGCATCAAAAGGACCCTGTAGTTTTCGTGTTGAACTCAATCACCATATCTGTTATTTTGATCAGAAGTGATCAGGAACGAAAACGTTTTTAGTTTTTTAATAGTTTTTTGTTAAGGAGTGTTTCTTATGATACTTGAATGATAACTCATTCATCTATTAAAGCAGATGAAACCTTAAATTGAAGAATGATCATAGGAGAAAGACGAATTTTTGAAAGGTAAAGAGCGGTATACGCGGGAAAGATTTTTTTCTGAGCCGCGATTATGATTTGGTTGATGTTTTTCTTCCAATCGTTCAGTTGAACAGGAAGCGACAGACCATCTATACGTGTAGGTGTGCTACTTTAACTTGCGTTTTTACTCCCCAATATGAAAGCGTTTGGGCAAAAAATTGTATATCTTATGTTGCTCCCGCACTCACGCATGCTGAACGAACGGTTTGTGGTTTAGTTTCCTGTTCAAATTTTTTATCCCTGTAATTTCATAGCTCCGTCATCAACGTATGCTGCTTTATGCTTAGATGGTTAATATTCGCTGTAAACATAAACACCTTATTTGGATCAGCTTTTCTGTAGCGAATCCATTAAAAGCATAAATAAAACTACCTTCAAAAGAAGGAAACATTTTTAATTGCTCGAAATAAACACATCGTTTCCGTTTCTTTTATTTTTGTTATTAGTTTTTATTTGTAGTTATTTAAAATACTACCGTTAAGACATGTTATTCAACACCAATTTTTAAACAGTTAAAAACCAGTTACCTTCCCATTCATTATGGTAAGAAGACTACTGCGTATCACGGAGCGACCGCCAAAGGGATAAATAAACGTCGTTGTGAATTATCTCCAAGAAGCAACAGTATGCTTTTTTTCTTCTAATTCCAAATATATCAACCCTCTTCCGTCATAGCATTCTTTTGTTGCCATTGTTGTTTTCTCAATAAAAGCCGCCAAGAACATTAAGTTAATTGCCTCAAATGCATTACTGAATTGGATTGACTACCAAGTTAGCTACTTTTTCATTTTCAAATTCTCTGCAAATCTCAGAATTCGGTTCACTTATGTTCTTTTTTAAACAACATTCGAGAGGAAAATTTATCAACAATTTGCCATTTTGATCGCTTGTTTCATATCGGGCCTATGTTATCAAAAATTCATTCTTGGAATTATTTAAATAGAAAAGGCTTATTTAAACCACATAAGGACTTGGCAGAGTTCTAAAAAAGACGGGGTGATTTATGACAGTTCAGCAAAAGGTTCTTGCCCTCTCTCCCGCGCCGTCATCTACAGCCGAATTGCTGGTCAAACGGAGCTCCATAGGATCATCCACGGCAACTACTGCTTCGAGTCCCGCGGCACCCTCCGTATCTAAAATTGAAGCAACCTCGTCTCCAAAGAGCACCTTACAGACAGATGGCTTACAGACGGACAAAAAAGTGAATGGGGATGAAGAGCAAAACGAGACCCCAAGCAATAGTCACCCGCTGTTGGGTTCTGTGGGACGAGAAGGGAGTGTGGACAGCTACGCCGAAGTAAGTTCGGCAGACGAGACTCTGGAACCGCTCACCCCTGCCACCTGTAACAACACCAACTTACTAGCTGAGGTAACAAGTACATTAGCCTTGAAACTTGAGTTAATGAACCTCAAGATTTAAATGACCGCAAGAATACATGAATTTCTTTGCTGTTTTCTTTGCAAAGCAAATTGATTCCAAAGTCAACTGTCCAATCATGTTGAAAATGTAATAGCAAATAATAGGACAGGGCGTGATCACTTTGGTTAGTTTATTGCAAAATGGCCGCGCTGTATGTGACTTTTTTGATACCAAATCGACATGACGTTTAGATTTACGTTTTGATGCGCTATCGAGGTTGCTATTAGTAATCTCTTAGATATATAAATTGGACGTCTCAAACTCAGCCTCTCTCCCAAAATAAAACCGAGCCGGCTTTACGTAAAAATTGAAAAAAGTGACCTTGGTCGGAACATGCTGGTTATTCTTGTTACAGGTTACATTCTTATTTAAGTATGGATTGAAAATAATTGGCCGTTCATTCTGTCGTTTCGCCGAACTTTTCTTTTTTTTATTTGGGAAGAAGGAAGCTGGTATGTAATGGACTCTGATCACCAGCGGGTTTAGGGGGTGGGCGGCTTTGGGAATCGGACGCTTTTTCGTAGGGATTCGACCCCCTGCCGAACCAAAGGGTCCCCAGTGAACCAAAGGATTTTTTAATCAAATCCGATATGAAATTCTGGTCGACAATTTTTTTTTCAAAATGTCTAAATAGAGCCTGGACTTTCTATAAATTTTTAATTTCTAATCCAATTTCTGGTCAGAAAATTCTAAGACTAGGCTATCTCTAGCCAGAAATTTTAAAATTCTCATCTTATGGCTGGTCGGAAATTTTCTAAAACCAGACGATTTCTAGCCAGAAAAAAAATTATTTTTTATCTAGTTTCTGGTCCAATATTGTCTCAATCAAGACTTATTCTAATCTAAAATTGGTCAATTAATCTGGATAAAGCTGGTTTCCCGGAAAAAAGGGGGAAAATTGTCTTCTTGAAGTAAAAATAAAAACGTATCAGTTTGCAATTTTGAACTTAATCTAAGTAAAAACATTGGGTCTAGGACTAAATCCCCCAGGATATAATCCCACAGATACTGGGGGATTTTGTCCTAGGGTGATTTGGTCCTATGGGGAATTTAATCCTGGAGGATTACATCCGGAGGGATTTTATCCGAGGGGATCTTATCCTGGGGGATTTAGTCCGCGAGCGAAACACATTATGTGAACAAGATTAAAATAAAATATAATGAACATAAATGCAACTTGAGACTAGTAAAAACAACTTGAATGTTTAAAGTTTCAAATGAATGCATTCAATCATGAATACCATATTCTTCATCATAATCGTTTAGAAGTGCACTTGGGTTGCATGGGGCTTGCCATGGCAGCTGATGACTGCATTGTGTGATTATTGTATTAGAGTATGGAATGTTCTAGAGCAACCTTGAAGCCCTCGACTTGGTCGCATGAGCATGCGAGGTTGAGGTCCCCGTACTGTTCTGTTCGTTGAACACGTCTTTATAAAAAACATGTCTGCCTCGAGCGATGTTCTATTTGATGAAAACGTGCCGAGAAACAACCGATACCGTTAAACATAACCATCTTATTTGAAATGCCTCACAGCGTCAGATTTGAAATCCCTAAAAAAGTGAAGAACGAAGAACAAATTGTAATTTTTCTAGAACTTACGAGTTTTTGAAGCATTTTATGGGAATACACTTGCCAATGGCAAGATCTTTTTTGTTATGAGGTTGTTTTTCACGCTGTTGTTGATCGTCAATTCTGCCGCCATAGAAGCCAAAAAATTAATCAAATGGCAAGATCGAAAAATTAAAGCTATACTTTATCGTTACTACCTTTGCATGCCGCGTGAAGATGCTGGGCAGATAAATTGCACAGTTTTGTTAGATTACAACTAAAAACAATATAGAAAATTGTATTAAAATACTTATTTTTTCGTGACAGTTGTTAATTTTCCTAATTCAAAAGTTTTATACTCACATTTGAGCTGCAAGGAAATTACTTTTGAGAATGAAAAAAAAAATGATTGAAATAAGGAATCAATTGAACTAGAGGTTGACTTGATAGGGTCTAGGACAACAAGCCGACGGGAATTCGAGCCGAAGGGACTTCAGGCCGAAATTTAAACTTTACAAGCACCTCAAATCACGATTTTTTCATCTGTAAAACGTTGCTTTTCAAAATTTTAGACAAGTTTAGTCCATAATAAGCTTTGTTCATGACAATGAATCACTTGGGATTGGCATCCGTTAATACTATCAGCCGGCTGGGTCTTATGCACTAAACGGCCCAATATTGCTATATGTTGAGCTAAAATTGTTGTGCTCCAGTCTGATTGGCTAATTTTAGCCAATCAATTACAAACTGCGCGGCCAGTCATTTCAACCACCGTTTCAGCAGATAAAACATTTAGCCGAAATCCCCAAAAGGAATTTTATCAAATAATCAAAAACATGTTAGGCCACTTGTGAAACTATGTCCAGGCAAGAAAATTTCAATAAAATGACTTCAATGGAACATTTCTATGCTTTCGTTCAATTCTGCTAATAATTTTGTCTGCTTGGATTTTTAATTTGAAATGTCTCGCCATGCTGTTTGAATATGATTGGTTAATAAACCGATCAAATTCAACAACATGAATTTCATTTCAAGATCTAGATATACTGATTTTAGGCCGTTTAGTGCATAAGACCCAGCCGGTTTTGAAATGCATAGCTTATAAACAAGAAAATTGCCTTCAGCCATGTTTTATTTTTCAACTTTCCTTAATATCATTCAGGGGCTTAAATTTTTTGAAAACGCCAATAACTACTGGAGAAAGATCATGAAATTGATAAAATCTTCAAAAAAGTTTTCAAATTAATCATATTTCATGACTTAATGAGAAAATTTTTGACTTGAAGTCCCTAATTTTACAATTCGGCTTCAAGTCTCGTCGGCTTGATGTCCTGCACCCCATTCGGAAGCTTAAATTTTTTTTAAATGCCAATAACTAGTGGAGAAAGATCATGAAATTGATAAATTCTTCAAAACTTTTCAAATTAATCATATTTCATGACTTAATGAGAAAGTTTTCGGCTTGAAGTCCTTATTTTACAATTCGGCTTCAAGTCCCGTCGGCTTGATGTCTGGCACCCGACTTGATATCAACGAACTAAACGTTAAGAACGGAATCTATTTTGTTCCAAAGAATATCTAAAATAACATAATATTCAGTTCTCGAAGAAAATCAATTTAATTTAATTAGATTTTATTGGTTGCAGATTGTCAGCATGTGCATCAATACAAAGAAGAAATTTGAAGTCACTTTAATTTTATTTTACACAACTGTGGTTAACGTTTTTGGTAAGTCTTCTGTGTGGTCAAAAGCCAATCTACCCCAGGTCGCGTGATTTATATCACAACAAAATAAGAGAATGGTTGAACCTAGTTCACTATGGGAAAGTTAAGCTCATCAGAAATTGAAAATTACAAGAGGTTTAGAGATGCGGGATATTCTGATTTTCCCTATTTTTTTGCTTCTTTTGAAATTTAGCCCTCCACGGGACTTCTTCCAGTTTTCTGTTGGATATATTGACACTCTAAGGCCTATTAGAGTTTTTTTCCTAGAAAAAAATGACAGCGGGTGCGTTTTAAACGTTATGTAGGTTCCACCTTCTTAATCCATTTTATTGAAAAACAAGACGCGTAACAAAACTTAAAAATCCGATCAAAAATCTCAAAAACAAAATAATTTTTTTTTTCATTTTTCGGAATAAAAATTCTTTGTTTTTTAACCTAAGACAGGAAATGTATCATGAGAAAACGAGAAAATTTGGCCAGATAATTAAAATAATTTTTCTATCTAGAAAAGCAGACTAGGCTGGGTACGCCGGGACGTCTTAAGAAATCTGAAAATCGAATTGAGACGACGTCGACTAGAAATAGTATTTTTGGTTATTGGAAATGAAATTGGAAGAACTATCGAGTAGGTGCTTGAGTTAATGGATTGATTATAAGCGGCAAGTTTTGGGCTACTTTTGAATGATGTTCTATCCTATTTTCAAAGTGTTTTTCAATAAACCGAAAATGCATCAAGCTCATCAATAAGGCCTCTAAGGCCTATTAGAGTTTTTTCCTAGAAAAAAATGACAGCGGGTGCGTTTTAAACGTTATGTAGGTTACACCTTCTTAATCCATTTAATTGAAAAACAAGACGCGTAACAAAACTTAAAAATCCGATCGAAAATCTCAAAAACAAAAGAATTTTTTTTTTTCATTTTTCGGAATAAAAATTCTTTGTTTTTTAACCTAAGACAGGAAATGTATCATGAGAAAACGAGAAAATTTGGCCAGATAATTAAAATAATTTTTCTATCTAGAAAAGCAGTTTTGCAACTATCTGCGTGTAATAGTCAATCATTTTCTGTCTTTTTCATATCACATTTGGGATCTTCGAACAAATTAGGGCGCCAGTGTGTTGTTACTTCTAAAAATCATCACTTTTTCCTCTAAATTTTTTGGTCCTTAACTTGCAGCATTAATTAATCAGACAGTCTGGTATATTCCCTGTATACCTTTTTTTTCTCATTTCAGCCCTATTTACTTATTGCAAAAAGTTCTAAAAATGCGAATTTTTAAAAAGAAATACTTTAGCATTAGCAATTTACCTGCGAATGATTTGTTTATGTATGAACTTCTCAGTTTTAGCGTTCGGTACAAAAATAGCTTTCAAGTTTGGAAACAACTTCTAAGCTTTCAAATATTTTTCCCTCAAAAATCTGCAAATAGGACTAAAAGCTCTGTTTATTTTCTTCTCTGTGAGCCCTTCTGTAAAAAATATGCTCGATCGCAATCAATTATTAAGAAGGCGTAAGCTTTTTGAAAATTTGCCCGCACTCAGGAAAAAGGGAAAAAAAATCTATTATATCATAATTATAATTTTACTTTTAGCAAACTTATAATTATTTATAAGCGCCAATTTTAGAGGTTTAAGCGATTTATAATCCCTTATAATGATAAACTTTTTGGTGGCGTTTTAATAAATTATAATCAATTATAATTGATTATAATTTTTCCGAAAATCGCTTATAATCTATTATAATCTATTATAATAGATTATAATTCCTTTTTCTATCAAAATATTATTTCACAAAAAAATCAATAATATTGGATTATAATTTAACTATTCTGCATAAAAACACAGTGAAAATCAAATTTAATTTATGTTTAGGCTAGAAGCAGGGGCAGATCTAAGATTTTCTCGAGGAAGCGTCGGATTTTCGGAAAATTTTTAAAAATTTTGTCGACCTTTTTTTTTAGATCGACCAAATTGATTCTACGAGTTTTCTGAAAGCACAAAAAACAACCTTTTTGTCAAATTTTCTACGCCGCAGGCAGAATTTTGAAAAAACAGGCCAATACATGCTCAATTTCCTTAGAACTCAAATAAAACTACTTTTTACATCATAAGTGATGAATTAACCTTTCACATATATATTTTTTGAAAAATGGCTCATTTTTTTCCGACTTTTGTCGCCCTAAATGTTGTCGGTTGATTTTTCGTTTTTTTTTCTCTAAATGCAACTTAGATCTGTTGTGCTTTTCAAGTAGTTTCTCTCCAAAACCTAGCTTCTTACGATTCAAAAAATTTGCTCTTGGTTGATAAAAATATGTATTATGAAAATGCTCCTTTAGCCGAAGTTTGTTAATGAATAATAGATGCCAAAATAGAGAAAAGTCCAGCAATTCGTGATACGAAAATAGTCAATAAAAAATGTTCACTCAGTTGAGTGTCGACAAAATCCTAGTCTGGAAGTTTTCATTTTTAGGCATTTTTTTTGGTAAAAAGTGGGACTCCGGGGAAGTGTATTAACGTAATATAGTTTTAACTGTTATTTTGAGTAATTATTCAGCCCTTATCCTTCTTAAAAACAAGGCAGAAAGTTTTTCTGCATGCATTGATTAGTCATGAGAAATTGTGTGATTCATTGTCAAAAACCGGCTACACTTAGTTTCAAATGTTGAAAGTTTTCAAAAAATTGCCAATCATTTTTTCTTGATATTGAAAGATCCTCAAGCTGATGTTATGTTGTGATTAGTTAAAATCAAAATTTGAGGAGAAAAAGAAGAAGTAATCAATTGTTTTTTTTTCAAACGCAACAAAAAATCAGAAAAACTCCCTGGCCACCAAAATGTACTATTTTGAAACCTCCATTTTTTGACGACCAACCCTAAACATTTCTTAAATTGGCTTTGGCGCCCATATCACTAAGTTTGAGGGGCAATTTTTTTGTGTTTACCATTCAAAAAGTAGTCATAAACCGTTTTTTTTGTTCTATTTTTTTGAAGTTTCTGTCACAACAGGGTCTTTAAATTTTTTTGGAGAGCTTGGAAAACCCATTCGGCCCCCTCGAGAAAATTACAGGCTCGCATTTAATACCGCCAGACCAATGATTCAGAGCAATTAAGTTTGAACATTTGTACCTGATGTTTCTGATAACTACAGTTGATTTAGTTATATTTCGATGAAACTGAAATGTTTTGAAACCAAACAACACAGCGTCTCAACAAATAACTTTTCTGTTTGTACATTTGATTGTTACTTTTTGTCAGGTGTCATCAGAAATAATCAGTGAACTGCTTCTGCTGCGTCGCAACGAAGGCATCCCCGACACATTGGTAGGGCAGCACTTACTCATCACCCTTCCATCACCCAACCAATCGCTCTCAGCCTCACAGCCAAACTCCCCGCCCCCCTCACAACAGATAGCACCCAAGGACACCACGAAGAGGCAGAATCAGGAGGGCCTTGACGCGAGTGTGTTCCGAGGCAAGCAGATATTTGAGAGTGCAGCGCACCCGTGTGGGTTGAGTGAGTTTGTGGGCAAGGAGGTACTGAGCAACAGTGCTAATGTAGACCATGTGCTGGTGGTGAATGGAGGAACCCACAGACACATGGCCAGACGCAACCGACACATGTTCAACAGACACTTGCTTGATACACTACTTGAGGCGAACAGAGACATGAGGTAATGGTTATGGCACTTCTGAAAACTTTCTCATAGAAGATTCGCTTTTTGATAAAGTAAGCAAGCAGCTTCTGGGATGATAGACATTAACAAACTGTTTCTTTAAATTCTGTAATTGGTCCAAGAATGAAAGATTACAGCGAAGTTTTTACAAATTCTGTTTTATAATTGCTGTGAAATGTCAATTTTCTCTGGAATTTGGTTTGCTCATTTGCAAAAACAATTTATATGACAGTTAACCGCGAGGGAAAGGTCCAACTTACGACCTGATCAGCTTTTTACAAAGAATCGCAGTTGTGTCAGAATAAGACATACTCTTCAGTTTTTGGTCACTTTCTTGAGCTGGTAAATAAATTCTAACCCTCAAGAAACAAACTAGAACTAAGATGGGTTTCGAACCGTCCATCTTTAGACTGAGAGGTGGAGGAGTTTTGCTTCACCCTTCTCTGTGTTGATAAAAGGTACGTTGTCGTTGACCAGGTGTGGCTGCGAGGAGACAGTTGCCAAATTAGAAGCAGCAGATGCTTTGGTGGAATGTATGGGCACCAAGTATGGACCAAGTGGGCCATACTTAACCATGATGCGCCACGTGGATATACACAACAATGTGGCCAGCCAGCCCATTGGAGTGTCGTTTCTCTCTGTTTTGTTCGATTCTTCAGTGGGCGCTACATCTGACCAGTCCAGCTTCGCAATTTTGTACCATCTTGTAAACCAAACCACACCTAAGGTGTTTATTTATTCAAGTCATAATTTTACTTAACATCGGATTGAATCATAACCTTTTTGCAAAACAAATTTTTGACTAAACCAACTTGAATAAATATTTGATTTCATTTTAAATATGTTGGCAAATGGAGGCAATACTGTTTTTGACTTAGAAATCCAAAAATATGTTTTTCTTAAAACTTTCAGGAACTTCTTGTTTTACCTTATTTTCGAGACTGTCGAGAGTGTTCCGATTTGCTTTTTCATCTTGATTAGCAAGATTATAATAATCGGTAACTATGTAGACAGTTGACGACATACGTTATGTTTTTTGAAGCTAGTAAAGATCCAAATTATTAGAGGCTTCTGTCAGTAACTATTTCCAGGAGCTAAAATCACTCAAATCCTCATCCGACCATAAACGCCGAAAATTTTTGAAAAACAGCAAAACAATAAAATTATTTGAGAACCGTGTGTTACATATGTGCTGTTGCAGTTGAAAGACTTCTTGTTGTTGGACCCTGCGATGGCCGCCAAAGACTACCAGCTGCTGAAGACGGGCGCCAGGGTGGAGCTTGAGAGAGACTACAATGCCCTCTCCGATCTCATGGACACAGTCGGACTAGGTAAACATATCAGGGCTCGGTCAAAGTTTACATGGTTATCTACCACAGCGCTCATTTAAATTTTCCTGACAGAACGAACAAAAACTTGAAAATTTAAACGCATTTTTTTCTCGAATTGCGTTGACTTAGGATATAAAGTGGTGCGAACAAAAATTGTTTAGCATTTACCAGAATTAATTGATGAAAAGCTCTCATGGTGCAAGGAAAGTGCACTTTAACCAATTTTTGCAGTTTTGGTGAAATTTTTGGCGATATTGCCCTTCTTAACTTTTTTGGGCTAGATAAAAAATTCATTTTGTTATATTTTGCTTAAAAACTGACTGTATTTTCTGAGCGTAATTTTGGCTCGTAGTTGGGGTCAATTTTCGGTTAAATGAATTGCATCATAATCATGCAGGTAAAACTCTAGACACTTTTGTCTAATGTCAACCTTATTTGAGAAAAAAGGTTAAGAAATGCTTTTTTGAAATTGTTTTCCGGATAATTTGTTTAATTCAGTTTTAATGCACGAACTTTCGAAAAAAAAAATAAAATGCACTTTCTGTTCGATCGTCTCATTTTCTTTTTACACAAAGTAGTGTCGTATTACGTTATCGATTTTTTTAAAAGTCGCACAGAAGGGTGCACCTGACATTTTTTATGGAACCTTTGCATTTTTATTTCTGGTTGACTTATAAGCCATAGCGTTTTTTGTTGTATCTTGTTTATTGGTGGCTAGTTCCTTTTTCTTGAAAAAACAGGTATTATGAATATGCATGGAATATTAGTTTTTTTGTATTTTAGACGCTTTTCTCAAAAACTTAGTTCATCAAAAATGTGGTAGAAATGGAGAGATCGGCTACTCCGATGTGTGCGTGGACATTCTGCTAGCCTCTTTTTCTTCACCGGACGTTCTAGACCTTCAGAAATTTCATTGTTTGGATTTTGACCCATTTTGTTTGTTTTGATTTTCTACCATAAGAAATCTGAGTTCAATATAAAAAGCGTGTTATGGGGATCTAGCTTGCATAGACTGCCGAGCCCTAGTCTTGGAAGAAAATTTTTTTTTGACTTTTTGTTCAAATTTTGAATCTTTGCCGTTTTTTGGTCATTTTTTCCTTTTTTTCCTTTTTGTCAAATCGGAGGCTACGCGCCTAGTAAAAAATAACAGTACGAGGCCAAACTGTGTATTTTTTGAATTGCAAGTGGATTCCGCAACAGGTCGAAAACAGATTTGTCGCGGAATCTGCGTCATTGCTAGTTTTTTTTAATCTTCTTTGCTGTTTGCTGTTTTGGATTCCACTAACAGCTAAAACACTGTATTGCTGAAAATCACTCCAAAATTAGGCAAATTAGCCAAATCCATAGCTGAAATTACAAAATCCACAACAAAATTTGCGGAATTGGGAACAGTTTGTGGGATCCACAAACAAATTTTGATATACATGAATCGCCTTAAAATATTTACAGTTTTGACGTTTTGCGTTTTCTTTATGGTTCTTATCAAAAAAATACTTTCAAATCTGAGATAAAAATGCTTATTTGGAAAAAAATAAGCAAACAATTTTCACTGCACAAGCAGCTACGCATTTATTTTTCTACGCCCTAATTTTTTGTAGAAAGTTCGTTTTTAACTTTTGGACTTTTCGACGTTTTTTGGAAACTATTGTCCAAAACCATTCTTTAAAATTTATTATAAAGGCTTCTATCGAAGGAACAGGTGCTAGTAGAATTATCTGTGGCTACTTCTTAGTTTTCATAGAACAACAAGGTTCATCAGCAAAAAATCAATGTTTCGGTGTTTCGATATTTTTTCGATAATACTGCCAAAAATAATATCAAGGTTTAAATTAAAAACACGTTTGCAGGAAAGTTTCGTTTTTTTAGCAGCTGTATGGTGGAAAATCAGAACAATTAACGGGCGTGATCAGCGATTTAACGTGTGAGCAGCGATCTAGTCTTCATCTCATCTTAGTTTCGTGTTAAGATCGCAATATTTTTTGCACGTTAACCTTCGCCAAATTAGCAATTTTTAAACTCCATAACATTCTTTAAAACGCTTAGATAAAAAGTCAAAAATTGACTTAATAAACCGCCCCAAGCATAAACTTTCCATCGTTGTCTTTGAAAGTCGAAACAATAACAAAAATTTGTATCCACACAGCTGGAGGGCAGCAGGGAGAGACGGAGGGGAAGCAGCAGCAGTTATGGAAGGCCCTGGCTGCTATTTTGCACATTGGCCAGATCCAGTTTGTCAAGCAGGGAGGATCCAAAGGGGGAACAAGTGGGAGCAGTGGAGGGGGTAAAGGGAGTGGAAAGGGAAAGGGAGCGACCACTTCAGCTGCCAATAACGCAGATAAAAGCTCCTCGTCCTCACCTACGGTTGAGGTAATATGCTCACCCCACAGTAAAAACACGTATTTTGGCAGTGAAATTTGAAAACATTCAATTTGTTTGGCGAAATCAAAATTCTACAAATTTCCCATAAAAGGTTTTTTAGCCGAACAAAAAACCTTCAAACAAAAATGTTTCAGCTCAAAAGCTTATGTACAAATATTTTGTTGAATAATTGTAAAATTAATTCATCTTTTATCAAATTTTGCAAATAATCCGTCAACATTTCCAGTTTTAAAGAACTTGCGATAAAAATTTGGAGAAATGATCAAACTAGCAAAGTGAGTGTTGCTACAGGTCTCCAACCTTGATTGTGTGTGGAAAGCGGAGAAGCTGTTGGGCATCAGTGGAGAGAACGGAGGTCAAGTGGCAGCACTATTTACACACTGCACTTCAGCGGTGGATGGGGCGAGGGTTAGGAGGAGCGTGGTGAACAGACTTTACGAGAGAGTGTTCAACAATCTAGTCGCGCATATCAATCAACAGCTCAAGGTAAAGATAAATGAGAGAAAAAACGATCGGACAAAATTTGAGGGCGCTGTAACTTAAATCAAATAGTATAGTGAGATTTCGTTCAAAGCACATATCGCTGCAAAGGAGTGGATTTAGAGTGTAAAAATGTTGCAGCTGTTATTAGCCCGAACTAAGGCGCACACTCGGCATGCTCTCTCCGGTGCATACACAAAAGAGCGCGTACCAAAAGAGCGCACTTTTAAATACCAAAAAAGCGCGTACCATTGTTTAAGCATTGATTAAGTACTCTCTACGAGTCTAAAAAAGTGCGCTCTCTCCGAGTCTCAGAAATGTCGCGACTTCCATCGGCTGGAGCCACAGGTCTAGAGGTGTAAGGGAAGTCTTGGGTTTTGGGGACATGGAAAAATAGTGTAGTGCTGTATGGGACTGGGTAATGGGAGCAGTTAGGGCGTTTGGTTTTATCCTTCTCATCTAAGTATTGCGGCAGGTGCCATAGCCCGATCTTATTTGGGCGAGGATGCACCTAGTCGAGCGGAGTAGAGTCTGTTCCTCTCAGAGACTTCTGGGGGTTTTAATGGGAGAAAATTTGATGGGAGTTTAACTTATGTTTTCTTGAGTATGTGTTTTAGGAGCGTTACAAGGTTGTGATTTACAAAAAAAAAAACCTAATTGTTTTTAATCAGTCGGAGAGCTTCACTTGTTTGCTTCGATAAAAAGCGGTGGGAGATTTTTTGTAATGTATAAAAAATTTGGGCGTCGTTTAAAGATGGCGGCTGCATGGGCCCAAGCTGGACAAGCGTACCGAGCATTGGTTTTACTAATAATTCATTAGTAACCATTTGATTTTCTTTCGACTGATCCCAATTAGCACAGTATTTTTTTGGCCAATATCCTGCGCAAGATTCTTCTTGCAGTTCGCTTGCCGTGTTCAGAAAAGTTTAGGGATGGTCCAAAAAATACCAAAATTGTTGGGTCGTTTTCTTCTGATAGAAATGTGTCGCACGTTATTGCTTTGGGTTTAATGTTGAAATATGTAATGTGATGTGAGAAAAACAACTTTTTGGGAAAAAATTAAATGATCTTCTGATGAAAAAGTAATGTACTTTAATAAAATAAACACTTAGGGTGGCGGAGGCAAACTTTATGTCGCGCGATTGGGCGAACAAATCAAGGGGGGCTTTGTCGCCCTCAGAGATTAGACAGGTGAGAATCCAAAGAGTCCTTTTTAGTATTAGCTTCCGACATTCATTTTTGGACAACTGAACTTAAATTTTTCCAAAAGTGGCTTCTTAATTTAAAGATGGGAGCACACGCCACTGTAATGCCATCAGTGGCCTAGTTTTTAGTCAACCTAACAATAAAATTTCGAAAAAAAACTCTGCCGAGTTTACATTTAGATCCCTCAAGAAAATTGTAGACTGTTCATTCATCTCTCGGCCAGGTGGAAAGAATGTCGGTTCAATTCTAATTAATCTTTAACTAATACTTGCTTAATTTGCATTCATGCTCATCATTGTACCGGTCAGTGTTCAGGTCGACAGGTCGGGTGCAAGTTAAGAAAAGGAAATTCAGAGGGTAATAATAGGTGGTAATTTTGAGTCCAGTGCCTGCATTAATCTTCAGAACTATTAGGCATAATATAGTCATTTCATTTAATACATTACTCTGCCAAATGAAATGCTATTCAAAAACTCAAACTTTACATTCTTTTGCCAAAAAATTTAGCTTTTAAACTATATTATAAATAATGCGCGAAGTATAAGAAAAAGCTATCCAGCTATTGAAATTGAACCTACCACCTATTGTAACATATCACCACTCAGGGTGCATAGCAAAATCTGAAATTCACCTTGTGTACTGGCCAATTCAATGTCATCGAACCCAAAAATTTTTAAAACCAATTTTGGTTAATTTTTTGTCTTCTGATTATAGTTTTTTTTGGTGAAATTAAGTTTTAAGTAAACAAATTGTATCAATCGTCAAGCTATAAGGATTTTGTTTTCAGATTTTTTTGTACTCATGAGCTTTGCCAACTTGATATTTTTTTGGTTTTTCAATTTGTTTTTTTTAGTTATATATTTTGCTCAGGCGAGCTCAAGTACGCATACCCGGATAGCTGAAAAGAACATCAAATATTTCTGACCATCATTAAGGTACGAAATATTTTCAATAAAAACTATGCTTTTGAGCGTCAAAACTGGTCTAAAAAAATGCAACTTTAAATCATAAATTTAGATAGCAACAAAACGTATTTAGAAAAAAAAATTCTTAAAAAAACTTTTCATTGTTTTTTTGCTCCGTAATTTTTCCTTTTACTTTACTCTAACGAGCTTGCGAGTGTTAGTGCTTTAGTACAAACCTTCTTTTTTCTAATCTAATTCGCAAATAGAATTGTTCATTGTTTGGCGACAGAGTGTTCTTTTTTGGTGGCGCTTTTGCTATAATCACGATTTCTAGTATTGAAAATTTCATAGCATCTGTTCTCTGCTTTATGGCAAGTGTTTGTGATCTTTGAAGCGTCCGTGGCTGAGTGATAAGTATGTAAGACCAATAAGTTCTAGATAGCAGATCGAATCCGAGACATAGCCGAAATTTTACTAATTCGACGCTTTTTTTTTTAGTTTTTCTATTGCACTTTATAGAGCTTATTTCGTCGTGTTCTCGCTAGTATTTGCAACGCGTAGTTTCGCCATTGTGTGAAAAACTGCTATGCCCAAGGAAGCGCTAAAGGAAATTTTCCAAGTATGAAGTTTGTAAGCCTGAATGTCCTTTTTTTTAAAGAATGTTACTCGATCGCGTTATTCGCTCGAAATTCGACTGAATGTCAAAAATAGACTGAATCTCAAAATAGACTGAATGTTGCTCAAAATAGACTGAATGTCTCAAAAACAATCTCAAAAGCTGTCGAGGAAAACTTGTCTGAATTTGTTGGTTTTTAAACTTAATTACAAATTTACTCTATATATGTATACAGTGCTGATTTAAATTATCCGGACGAAACGAACAAAACTTGTTCAAACGCGTTTTTCTCAAATTGGGTTAAGATTAGACAAAAAGTGAAGAAGACAAAAGTTGCTTA